ACATTGTTCCCTGAGTAATAATTCAATGAAAACAACAATGAAAGCTTGTCACGTAAATAGAAGGAGCACCGTTGGGCACTTTCTGAAATATTTCAATAGTATAATTCCCTTGCAAACCCAAATAAATCTATCTGCGAAAAAATAAATAAAATAAGAGTGATTTGCGGCAAAACCCGCCAGTATCACACCCAACGTCAGTGCCTATACGTAAGCGTTCTACGACGCGGCGCTCAATTAAAGGAGTAACAAGTGTGATACTATCACTTCTAGACTAGATCTTTGGTTCTCTCATGCAATGGTTTATCAGAGAGGGGAAGCTTAGTAATCCCCATTGCCTGCCCATGACGCCATTCTATCGCGGAATGAGCCAGCAACGCCGGCCATAAACCAACACTCCACTAAAAAGCATGAAATTAAGCCCGCCCACCAACAGCAAGGTGCAAAAACTAGCCAAGGGGAGGGAATAAAATATATGGAGTAATTGAACAAAAACATTGTTCTTAGTTTACGGAATGGAACATCAGTGTTCATATGTAATTTTTATAGTTTCAGTATCAAATTTATTTAAATCCTCAGGTTAGATTAGCTAGTATTTATTGAAAAAAGAACCAATATTTTTCAATTGAGAAACACTAATGTTACCTACTGAACAGTTGATTGAGCATAATCATAAGACATTATTGACTTGAATAAATAAAAACTTTTGTTCCTTAAATATGATCGAAAAGCGGTGAGAAAATTTTCTACAAGCACATATTTTTGTAAAACAGAGTGATATGGTGAATTGTTTGATTTATATGAACAAGCAATTTGGTTTTTTATCTTCTCAGAGTTTCAATGGAATTTTGATTTCATTTCATTGATGGATTTGAATGTTGTATATTATTGATTTGATTTTAATTGATATGTGGTTTCAAAGACGTGTGTGAAGCAGTAGTGAAGATTGTTTTAATAGTGTAAAAAGGAAGAGAAGCACTTTTCCAATAGGACTGCTGTGCTGTTGGTGCTCAGACGGTGGTTATCTTCCTGTAAAAATGGTTGGTCTGCGACTGTGCTAGCATTGGGCGATCTTGAGGCAAGAATCGATCTTCGTGAATCGATTAATTTTTTTTTAGAAAATATTCGTTTTACCGATTTAATCAATCATTTTGAATCAGTTCATTTTTCAAAACGGCACAAAAATGTTGTTGAAGATGCTGCTTTCAAATAACAACTAAAGTGGTCATTTTTATAGGATAGATAAGGAGATGAAAGTATAGAGTTGATAGCTCATTTGTACCTTACTCAAAGTTGTCCTTGCTCGCTTTCTAATCTCTATATAAAAAAAATTTCACACTACCGTACTCTAACGGAACGGAAATATCAACTGACCACTTTAGTTGTTGTTTTTTATTTTTTTTTTTTAATTAGCATCTTCAACTATGTAAATCCACAGACAAACAGACATAACACTCGCAAGTTGTTCATCGAACAAGCATTTAACGGTCAATTTATAAGTATCGTAGTTGGTAGTACCGCCACCTGTGGCGCGCATAGTCAATTCCCTTGCGTTTGACGTTTACACACTACCGCCATCTGTTCAGTGTACTACCCACCACAGTGTATTCAACAGATGGCGGTAATGTTTTAGCGACGATGTTTTACAGTGATAAATATTCAATGTGTTATGTCTGTTTGTCTGTGGTAAATCGTTAACTTCACGCAGAAGTAATTAAAAAAAATAGTTAAAGTACAATAATGTTTCAAATATAACGGATCATAGGAAAGTTGGTGCAGATTAACGCCAACTTTTAAACGTCCCTGTCCAAGGATGAGGGGCTTGATGATGATTTGTCAAGTGTCGCTATGATTTTTTTTAATTTGTTAAAATTTTAGTTTTTTCAGTTCATTGATTTGAACGGTTCAAGCGAGTAAATTTCACGGAGCCGTAAGTTGTAGTTTTATAATAATTTTAATATTAGTAAAAATAAAATAGTAATTTTAAATTCGCTTTTGTAATCCTAAGGTAAATAGTTTGCTTTGAGTGTTAAGTTAATTTATAAGAAAATTCTAACAGTTTTTTTGCACTTCGATACTTGACGGGTCATACCTCTAACATAGTAGCAGTGACAGTGTCGCATGTCCTAACAACAACTGCCTGCGACTAGTGTTCGAGGGGCCGACAGGGCTGAATAAGGGTCAATACTAACAAAACTCTAACACTAACATGACCCCGAAACTAACGTTCATCCATTGCACTAATAGTTATAATGTAGTTGTACTTTCCTAATAACCCATCTATCACAGACAAACAGACATAAAACTCGCAGGTTGTTCATCGAATACGCATTTGACGGTCAATTTGAGTGTTTTTTGGTTGGCGTACTATCCATCACCTGATACTCGACAGATGGCGGTAGTGTTTTAGTGACTATGTTTTGTGGAGAGAAATATTTAATGTGTTATTTCTGTTTGTTTCTCTATGTTTCTTTTTCGTTGTGTGTGTGTGTGTGTGTGTGTGTGTGTGTGTGTGTGTGTGTGTGTGTGTGTGTGTGTGTGTGTGTGTGTGCGTGCGTGTGTGTGTGTGTGTGCGTGTGTGTGTGTGTATGTGTGAGTGTGTGTGTGTGTTCAGGGGGGGAGGGGTTAATGTAACCAGTACTAATACCATTCTCTCTATTCTTTTATTCGTTTCCCATATCCCTTCACCATCACCCCATATTAGAGTCATGCAAAATTTGAAATTTTCGCTCCACAATACTTAAACGATTCCAAATCGGATCCTGACTAACCTCTCCAAATTTGAACCCATTTGGTGAGAAACTGAGATCGCACAAACCATTTGAAGTTTGTATGGGAATTACTATGGTTAAACCAAGATTTTTGTTCATGTCTATCTAATAATTCACCATATCGGTCTGCTTCAAAAGCTTTCAACTGTACTTGTAGGAAATTTTCTAAGCTACAACTTTGCTGAAGATCACTTTTTGATTAAATGCAAGGATCGAAAGTTATCAATGGTTCAATGCGCTGATGTCTTATGATCATGCTCAATCAACTGCTCAGCAGGCAACATTGGTGTTTCTGGGGCGTTGAATAGGACACAAAAATCATGGCTACTATGTCACACTGCAAAATACAGTGTTGCCTACAGAGCAGCTGCTTGATTATGTCATAAGTTTACCAATCTCTTAAATAATTAATAACTTTTTCCTGTCTCGTTTTACATAGAAACGATCTTCAGCAAAGTTGTAGCTGGTGATCGAACTGTTTCGCAGCTCAATATGGAAAAAGACTAGAAGGCAATGAACAAAAAGTTGAGATTTCCCATAGTAATTTACATGCAAACTTTAAATGACTTGTGCGAAGTCTGTTTCTAACCAAATGAGTTGTAACTTTGGGAGGCTAATCAGGACCCAATTTGAAACCATTTAAGCACTGTGGAGCGAAAAAGTCAAATTTTGCAACAGTCTACCCCATATCCCATCATCTTGACGAGAGATGAGTTACTTGCATGGTGCATGCCCAAGTCGTACTACAGGATAATATGCTGAGCGTGGTTCTATCACAATAACCACGCAGGAACGCAAATCAATACAGCTGAAGAATAATGAGGTAAATTCTACACAGTATTTTAAAGGAGTAAACTCTATGCAGGTAATAATAGCAATTAATAATCAAACAACCATAAAAAGGTAAGAATGAATTTATTTATTTTAAATACAATGACGCGATTTTGTCAGCCCCTCCGCGCTTCAGACTTTTTTCTTTCAATAATTTCACATACCCATAAATCTACTTTTTTCTCATTCATCGTTAACAGGGATATTCAAAGTATACTTTGGTGCAATAGGTTCAAACAGATTACTGAAAAAGGGCATGGGTTTTGTAAAACATTGGAATACATTTTCAAAAAAGGAGGCTGACAAAATCGGGACATTACTGTATTCCATTTACATTTACATGATTTATCACATATTTCCGGAGATCTTCGAGGTTGGAGCGTAGTTGCTTTTGTAGATGGGCACGTCATTTGCCGGTTTCTCGCGAATTGGGGCTCAGTTTGGAAAAAAAAACTAATTACACAAACAGGTAGAGGAATATTTCCTCTATGATTTGGTATAGTTTGTTTGCAGGATTGTTTTTTTGTTCGCGGGAGATCGGTGATTGGCGTGTTTGTTTGCAGGGGCAATTGCGCCCAGATCTCGGGGTTCTCCGGATTTATGGTCGTAATCTAATACACACAGTTGATCACAATACGAGCCTAAAAGCTGCAGTGACCTAGTGAGCACCATAGCTCAAGTCGTCTGTTAGTATTGTGTATCGCATGGAGAGCCCAACCGAGATGCTAGCCTATTAAGACTGCAGTTGGTCAACTCTCGAGAAAAAAAAAATTAACGCCAACTTTTAAACGTGTGTAAGAATCCTGATAAAATTTTCACCACTGAATAATCAATCCTTCCAGATCAGAACGCTGTCTTGCTACAAAAACTAGAGACGCTGCAGTAATTAACTAAAAAGAAGCGACCAAATACTTACTGGAACAGACTTTATGCTGAAAGAAACAAGTTAATCGACAAGTTACTGATTCGGATCATTACATTAATAAATTCTTCTACTTTAATGCATTTTACAATCATTTCGCCTATATCTAGCCCTACGATATTTTGGATGCAAACATTGCATTATTCGAACAGCCTCTGGATGTTTTCAGTATTCCCAATAAACAAAAAAACAGATTATTTTGTTATCTTGCGTTCAATGTATCTACGTAGGCTTTGTTGATTCTTATCACATCCACTGTCCTACAAAAATAAAGGCAAGTTCGCTATCATGAGCCTATCAGTTTAGATTGCAACCAAGCCTGTCGATGACTGTCCAAAATAGTAAAATTTGCCACCCAACGCCAAGATAGCAGCTTTCTTTGCGGGGTTTAAAAAAAAACCTGTAATCAGCTGGGGGACGATCGTTATAGCAGCTTTATTTTCATTCTCCCTTTCAAATTAATTTCAGTACATGTTGAACATTTGTCGAAGCCACAGTGTGAACAATGTTTTTAGCACTCCTTGCCTTGGTGGGCCTGCTCACTGCCCTAATTATATCGTATCAGTTTCGATACTGGACTCGTCGAGGAGTTCCCCAGCTGCAGCCATCGTTTCCGTTCGGTAATTTCGGTGAGTTCTTCCGTCAGCAGCATGGGATACCGATGACCTACGCCAACCTATACGCCAAAACCAAACACCTGCCGTATGCCGGGATTTACCTCTCGATCCAGCCGTCGCTGCTCATCAACGATCCGCAGATGGTGAAGAACATTCTTACCCGAGATTTTGAGCACTTTCACGACCGAGGTGTGCACGTGAATGAAGAAACGGATCCCTTGAGCGGGAATCTCTTCTCGCTTGGTGGCGTCAAATGGAAGAACCTGAGAGCTAAGTTAACCCCCACGTTCAGTTCCGGTTGCTTGAAAGCAATGTTCCCGATTTTGGTTCAGAAGGCAATGCTACTGCAGAATCGTTTCCAGATAGAAACTTCCTCCCAAGGTGCCATTGAGGTGAAGGAAATGGCCACTCGATATACAACGGATGTTATTGCTTCGGTTGCGTTCGGAATCGACATCGATTCCATCAACAACAAAGATGAGCTCTTTCACACGATGGGAAAAAAAATATTCAAACAAGATTTGCAAACTTCACTCCGATTGGCCTTAGCAATCTTTTTTCCACGATTGAAAGCACTTTTGGGATTCAACATGGTAGCGCCGGAAATTGAGGATTTCATGATTAATGTAGTTCAAAAAACGTTGGACCAACGCGAGCGAGACGGAGTCCCTCGGAAGGACATGATGCAACTGTTACTTCAGCTGCGGAACACCGGGACCGTGTCTCTCAGCGATGAACAATGGAAGCTGGATGCAACGACTACCGCCAAAAACCTAACAATCAACGAAGTAGCGGCCCAAGCGTTCGTTTTCTTCGTCGCAGGCTACGAAACGTCCTCCACGCTGATGTCATTCTGCCTTTTTGAGCTCGCTCGCAATTACGAAATTCAAGCCAAAGTTCACCAAGAAATCGACAGCATCCTCTCACGATACGGAGGAGCCATCACATACGACAATCTAGCGGAGATGAAATACCTCGAGTGCTGTCTGGATGAAACGATGCGAAAGCATCCACCAGTACCGTTTCTGAATCGTGAGTGCACCAAAGCGTATCGCATTCCCGGAACGGATGTGACAATCGACAAAGGAACGCCTGTCGTAGTGTCGGTATTGGGAATGCAGCGGGACTCGCAGCACTTTCCGCAACCGTACGAATTCCAACCAGAGCGGTTCAGCAGCAGTAGCAGCGGAGAGCAAGCGTCCCAAGACAAAGCATACTTTCCATTCGGTGGTGGACCCAGGCTGTGCATAGGATTGCGAATGGGAGTGCTGCAGACGAAGGTGGCACTGGTGGCATTGCTCGTCAAGTTCCGGTTCAGTTTGGCCAACAAAGAGGATTACCGCAGAGAGCTACCGTTGGACGCCAAATCGATGCTTATGGCAACGCGGGATGGAATTCGGCTGGTGGCTGATGCACGATGATGCATGCATTATTTAAATTTATTTAGATCAATGTAAACTTTTGCTGATATAAATAAATACTTTTATGAAAAATTTCTGCTGAATACCGTCCTCAGATAGCCTAGTCAGTAAAGGCATGTTATAACCAACAATCAATACGAAACTAACGATTTTAAATTGGCTCACTACTTGACTAGCCTATTGGTCCCAAGCAAATCAATTAACGTACTCCATTTTAGTATAAATTCCAGCACTACACTATGTTTGTTGTGATTCGCTATGAAAGTTTGATAGATAAAATGAGGGGTTCGTAGATTTTCCTTTGTTTCGAGAGGTGCATCGATTAGCTTGGGAACCGAAGATAGTACCAGTAGCTGAGCCAACAGTTGAGCACGTTTCTTCGGAACCTTCTGGTCTTAGAGTTACCTCTATGGTATAACCGTGAATAAGAGTCAACGAGTTCCATTCTCGGTACGGTCTAGAATTTGCAGGATTTATATCATATTCATTGTTAAGTGCTTGGAATTATCAACCCACTTTCACAAGGTGCTGAATGTCTTATTAATAAAGTAAACCTAACCTAATCTTACCTTACCATTTGCACGGGGTACATTGCAGCAAAATCCATGAGTTGATTTTCAAGTTGTCCAGAGCTTATTAATAAGTTATAACTTAATTGCAATTGTCAAGGAAATGCAGCCATTCGCTTTTCGACTGGCTCTACAGGGGGCTTTCAATAGATTTTTTATCTAGTATTTTCAAGTCGACCAGAAACCAATAAAGTGCATTCCTTAATAAAAATACCATAGCCGAACGATAACCCAAATGATAGAAATATTCCACAAATGGGTTGAACACGTCGTTAAGAAAAATAAGCATTCAAATTGTATTAGGGTTACTGTTAGATAATCTCATTTACAGAAGCAATATTTCTTCGTTTCTTCGAATTGGTTGAAGTGTATTCATTACGGAAATTATGCAAATCGATTCCGTTGAGAGGGTGTAAAAAAAACTACAATTTTGTCTAAGGTATGTTGGAACATTGTTCATTAGGTTGTTAGTAAGTCAACTTATGACTACATCACAAAATATTCCATTGATGAATACTAACGTTTGCATTCAAAATTTCTGATACAAGCTTGGAAAAAAATGATTACTTTCGCTTGTAAATAGTGATTATTGTTTATAGAAAAAAAATAGTTCAAGCCTATTATTGTATCTTTGAGACAGCTAGCCGGAAGTCCCAGGCTTGGACCTTAACCATAGTGGTTGAAAAAAAGTTTCTTATGATCGTTTTAGCACCCCCTTGGCCATTTCGACCAATCTTTTCACGTCTTTAGTCAAAATCACAATCATAATTAAATTTCCAATTGGATACAATTGAGTAACATAGGGAGGGTTGAAACCTTTGGTATTACAGTTATCGATAAGCGTTCGATTTCATTTATCGTTCTTCTTGCAAAATTCTTGTGAATTGAACGATGCAAGGTCTTAAAACACTGCATATTTTCCGCATGGTACTTCTATAGAAATCGGCACACTTGTTGCATAATTTTTCTGCTTCTCTGTAACCATTTGGTTACAATCCGTGGCTTTTCTTCTGTATGAGTTATTGTTGGTTGGGAAAATTCACGTTTTGTTAAACCTAAAACAGTAGACTCACACAAGAGCGAGAGGGTTTGTGCCGCTGCAAAGAACAAGCACGTTACTGAAGGGAAAAAATTATTATACAACCTCTCGCACAAAAATGGTTGTGCGAAAAGATGGAGAATGATAATTATTGGATATATTGGAGAGGCCATCTTTCAGTGGAAGACAGACCACAAACAAACAGGTGTCCGTGTGCAAAAGACCGGTATTTTTAAGTGCAGTGCCATTTAGTGCACACTCCCCCCCCCCCCCCTGTGGGGTTTCTGGAATGGTGGACTGCCTCCGTTCAGGACCTCGTACCGTAAATAAAACGGTCTTACACGGCTCGGTCGCCCGTCAAGGACGATTCCTTCAGACCGGTGACCTTAATTGCCAAGGAGGGTCCTGTCTCGACTCGACCAAGGTGGCCATGCCACGGTCAGCCGATGTCGACAATGATGGAAGACGCCTGCTAGGCCGTCCCTTATTTTCTGAAATTCGACCAATTTGTAAATTCAACCTTTTAAAATGTTCGTTTTGGTTAGAAAACAAACATATAAAAATTTGAAGTTCATACGTTAACGTTTAGAGGTCGCTCATCGGCTCTAAATGGATGGTAGTGTAGGAGACCCCCCATGCCACGGCAAGCACGCTTCCGTAGTGTATGCGTTATAGGTAAAAATACATCGTTTGTGGGTATTCCTCAAACAGATCATGGAACGTCAGATTGATCTCATTTGGTGTAAGCAACTTTTTCAAAACATAGTGTATATGCATAATAATGTTTTTTTTTGTAGTTTTTAAGCGATATGTTTTCCATTTAATGTGTTTTGGTTCAATATAGTCGTTATTTCAAAAGTGAATTTAAGCAAAGTAATGATTATTTGGAAGTTTCTTTTGCAAATCTTCCACATTTAACAGCAGATTCTGGAAGTCTTTTTCTTTTTTTGTCACATTTTTGTTATATTCCTGCATCAATTTGATTGCTCTCTCTGCGTGGTCGGTTACCACTTGAAGCCGAGTAACGATTTCTTCTCCTTTTTGGTATTCCTTATTAGTACTCCATTCACTTACTGGTTCATCGAAGAAGCTGATATCAATCCCCAATACTCTAAAAAATTCCACAGTATTGGTAGTTGCCAGCTGGTCCAGCGAAATTCTACACAACTCAGTGAGAAGAATATTCCGTTTCTTTGTCGGATCATCATTGCCTTGCCTTGTTCGAATGGATTGGACAAGCTTCTCTCGTTCTTCGGAAGATAAGCCAGTGTCAAACACAGAGAGACCAATTAGTTCTTCACTTAGATAGGGGAAATGTTGGCTTCGGCAATACCTTAACCTATTATCGTCAGAGGGGTAAACAAAATCCTAGAGCACTCAAATTTGGCCAATAGATGCTCTGAAACACAATGTATCTACATGCCTAAATTGAGCTATCAAGGGCGTTGTTTACCCTCCTGACGATAATAGTTTAAGGTATTGCCGAAGCCAACATTTCCCCTACCAGAAATGGCCTGAAAATTTTCTTTGCGCAGCACCAGCAGCATCTGGATTGAAACTTTCGAACTCCTTAAGATCCGCTATAAACTTGAGATCACTGCGAGGAGCAGATGCAGCGAAGGGTGCGGAAAACCACGCTTCCACATACACTCCAACTATGAAAGCGCATACTACAAGCAATCCGACCGGGTCTTTGTGGAGATGAAACTGCGCCCTGAATATATACATCTTTAGACTGTAGATAGCCCGTGCCATCCAGCGCGCAGTATGCACAGGTCCCGGTGCACGGAAATAAATTCCTCCTGTAGGAACTTTGCCCAAAAAAATGATTGTAAGTTCCAGAAACTCACGGTAATCATCCCTCGGCTCTCCAAGCTACGGAATATCATTGAAATAATAACATTTTCTTATCATATGAGTTAAGATAAAATACTCACAATGATGTTGTGTTCCGCGAAGCTTGCAATTTGAGTTATGCGATTTCTCAAAAAAATGTGGTTCATCGGGACTGAAATTCTCCATTAATTTCAAGGACGATATAAACCGGTATTTCTCACGCAATCGATGCATAGTGGAACGGTTGATGTTAGTATTCCCTAGATCAACCCCAAACGATTTTGCAGTCTGCTGCCAGAATAACTGTGGCAGAATCTGCGCTGACTATCGCTGCATCAAAAGCCTGGGATTATTCTGGGGTTACAACATTTTGACTTAAGCCGGCGCCGGTGGTGTAGTGGTAAGCGTGACTGCTTTCTCACACCCCGATGGGTCTGGGTTCAATCCCAGCCGAGGTCGGTGGGATTTTTCTGAGGCATAAAAATCTCTGGTCACGTCTTCCTTCGGAAGGGAAGTAAAGGCATTGGTCCCGGCCCATGTGTGTTGAATGGGTGCGATATCCTACGCAGGTGTGGAAGCTGCCTTCCTGCACATTCGATTGTCATCAATGGATGGCAATCGATGTCCGTCGGTGATTGGCACTAGATTGCGGAATAGAGACCGACGTTAAATAAAGGAAATAAGATAAGAAACATTTTGAGTTCCTCGTCATGAGCGATGCTCCACACGCTTGTATGGATCGTCAGGCTCCCCAACAAGCAATTTTAGCTGCAGCTTAGCTTATACAGGCAAAAATTAGCTGCATAAGGCAAATTTTGGCTGTATAAGCTAATCTGCAGCTAAAATTGTTTGTTGGGTCATCATCGGATAGGTCGAGTTCTACGAAGTTGGCTATAATGAAATAAATTTACTGCACTGTAATCAAGCAAAGAAACTGAATATTACCAGTTGTCAACTTACTTTTTCTTCGACGTTCTTCCAAGAGCTTTTGCCTCTCTTCTTTACGCTTCACTGTTGCCACCTTCTTCTGCATTTTGGTAGCAAGAACCCCATCGATGCCAGCAATGGAACCTACGCGTCATTGGCCATCTTTCTGATCCTTGAGAAATGCTATGTCTTCGAGAATCGCCTGTCTAACACCAGAATCCGTTTCTTGCTGGGCACTTCGTTCCATTTCCGGTATTGCCATGCTCTTTGCAATGTCAAACAAGTCGTCAAGCTTGGTTTTAAAATGGGATTCGCGTTTTATTTGTGCTTTGTTATTTGCCCCTTTCATATTTTTGCAAATTGCAAACAACTCGGTATGCAGTGTTTCAATTTTCTTAATACAGTGAATTTCCTGTACTACCTGTTTAGCGGTATTTCTAGCACTCAATCTGTCCGGAAACCTTGCGGATCGATGCTGGTAGTAAAAGATAGTTAGCACTTGCCGTATTGTCGGAAGACGAGCTCCAGTGATAACTTCACATTCAGGTCCCACAAATTTAACGAGAGTTTCACTTCTAAGTTTATGAGCCATTTTGAGAATGCTTTTCACTGCTTGAAACGACGCATCTAAACGCACTGAAATAAGGGTTGT